CTCCCCAGAAGACTGCCCTCAATCCGCATATGCAAGGGGATAAAGACCAAAACAACATCTTATCGTGGCTGCCCCCTCTGGTCATAGCAACCATGAAATGACCTGTCTGCTCTACTTAAGATCCGGTGGATGAAATAACAATGAAACGACAGTAATTAAAGCGAATAACACGTATTTTACTACTCAACTAAACAAAACTCATCATAGCATCTACTCGTTTCATGATAATATCATGATCATCTACTTGCATTCATGAGAAAATCATGAAATTTTATAAAAATTCGACAAACATACTCTCGTATTTCGATTTCGGTAACACGGAATGGTAAATTTGTCAATTCAATACAGTAACGTCCCGTGTCATCACCACGCCGTTTCGAATCACGGTAATCTCGACGGTCACGTGGAGAGCGTGATCGTGCATGCCGTGAGTTGCGATGACGTTCTTCGCGATCACGTGAGCCACGAGATCGTTCTTCACGACGTCTGTCCATATCAATTCTCTCCTAAAAACCGGCTCAGTACAACCAACTGAAGAAAATTCTCTGCGGCAAATAATTGCCATTAAAATCGCTCGGTTCTGCATACAAAAGTACTGTATTATGGCAACGATAACAATAAAAACAATCACAATAATAATATAGCAATAGTATAGTAATAATGATGTGATAATATAACTAGCAGCATAAAAACAATAATACAATAATAATGTAATGGTAAAATTAGAATAATATTATCATAATCTTATAACAGAGTTGTAATAATATTATAAATAATCTTACAAAAAGTCAACAACAACATTATAATAATACAATGACGAAACAATAGTAATATTATAATAATGCAACAATAATATGATGATAATAATAACGATGTTAATAATAATATTCGTTGCGTAAATACAAAATCCTTTGTGCCAGCGGTTATTCTTGCTCTACTCTGACCCTATTCTATGATAATTCGGCTCTGTAAAATAGACAGAATGAATATTTTTGTGTGACAGCTGAACGGCTTCGGGGAAAATCGACAAAAATTCACGAATTGCCCATTCTGAGGTCAATTACAAACAAGCTGATGGCGGTTTTGACTGCAGTACTAATTTGCCATCGGCAATCAATGAATAAATCGCCAGGACGAAGGGCAGTTCGTTGTCACCTAGTGCAAGATTTGATTCCCCTGTTCTTATAATATCATCAGTACTAGTCACTGCACCATATTTATCAGCTGAAATTGGAGAGAGAGAGAGAAAGAAAACTTAAAATAAAAGAAATCTGGTACAGTTGCCCGCCCTGGAAAAAACTTGGTGCCGTGCAAAAAAAACATCTGAACTCGACTACTGTGATTTGGGGATGAACAATTTATTGAGCTGAATAAGTAAGTAACAGACGAACCGGTGTGGCAGGGCGTCGAAGCCGTAGTGTTCCACCGCGAGGGCTTTTTTCACGTTGATATTCCATCTCTTTGACGCCATGCAAAAAAGCAGGAGGAATTTGCAGGCTACCATCAACTGCATTATCGAATTTCTCTTTTGTGCAAGATCGGATTCTGAACGTTTCATTTTTTGAAATTCCGATGATAAGAATTACTAGAATCTCGAACTACCTGGCCTCATCGCCTTCCGGACTCAAACGAATTGTCCTCTGTTTATGCACTTTGATCTCACAAGAACCAGTGATCTGGAGTTCCTATTCTTATTATTCGCTATTTTTTTTTTCTTGCTGTTCGCAGTGCAAATGAATATGCTTACAAATGTTAGCATCTTACTGCTAAATGTGCAGAAATCTTCTGAAAGTAAAATGCCTAGAGAATCACAAACAATTTCATCTCTAGAGAAGCATAAAAAATTTAATAAAACACTCATACATAGATAAACAAACACACACACGCATAGAAATACATACATACAAAAACACACACACAAACACAAATAAACATGCATTCCATCTTTGCGTAATTTTCCAAGCACAAATTTTCAATAAAATGTAATATGAAAGCAAAGTTTTTTTTTTT